AAAAAAACAAAATAAATTCAACACAAATATCGTTGAAAACCAGCAACATTGAGAACCAAATAGCTTAGGTTACTGGGATTTTGAAGATTATGTATATTTTTTTGGAAATTTTTTTAGAAGTTTTTTTGATGAAAATAATGGACGGAGTGAGAGAGGGCAACGAAATCAGGGCATGAGTGATAAAACTTTTGCACATTTTGATCGATGGTGATAAACTCGATTCTTCAAGTAATCATATTGGATACTTTCATATTGGATCCTGACTGATGTTGGTTGGACTAGTGAAAGAAACGGTTTCACTGAATAGAAATATATATAATGAATAATCATAAGATCACAATAATAGATGAAAAATGAGTGAAGATCTACGAAAAGAATAATGACTGACTACAAATCCATCTAGGATATATTAGGATAATAAAGACAATGTTTCATTAGTATTGCAATGACATACTATTAATAATCTACAGGTAGAGTGTCACTTCACAGATATGCGAATCTCGAGTTATAGAGAATGAATCAATCATATTAATCTATTTAAATCGCGGTTCTGGTTGACCAGCAACTAGTGTTTGTATTGATTCGTCGATAGTATCACTCATTCGAAATATCCGTTAATCACTGTCGTGCTGGGACGGATAATAATGATTTTTAATAACAGTTGACTATTCAGGGCCCTCGTCGATCAGAATCAATGAACGATTCAATTTTAAACTGAATGTGTCGCGTCAAAGATTCGTTAGAAGAAACAAGATATGTGTATTGTTTTTTTNAATACGAGGTGCTAGTCGCAAGGAACAGATGCCTGTTTTGTTAGAAGAAAACCAGTTCAAGGTTACCCACTAATGGACCGACGATTTTTTCGTCATTCTTCTGCAAATTTCTTGTGAACGAGTAATGGATGGATCTACTAAGTCCCTAAAGAGCACGTACGTCCGACTTGACACTACTATCATTTTGACAAGAATTGTGCAAATGAATTGAAATAAAACCACTCTGGTTTCTAGTTTTCACATTCGCAATCTTGTGAAAAACCATTCGTGATCACTAAGGAGAGATTTTGAAACAAATGCGGATAAAAATGAATAGAAAAGAGTGGAAATGCTGCAGTTACTGACCTCAGAATCCGTTTCTTGAATACAAAAACTGACAGTGTCTTGGCAGTGTGGAGCGTTCACCACGATGTTCGTAGATGGGTGGTAGTGAATGTACACGACTGTAGTGTTCGTCGAACAAGAAGCATCTGGAGTGCTTCTCGCACAACGATGTCTCCACCACGTCGATACCCACTTCATCAGATTCCTCCAACGAATCGTCTTCATCAGCGAAATTCGAACGGCTCGAGCCACGTCGTCGACTGTTTCCGACCATACTAATACCACAATTATTGCTACTATCATTGCTGTCTGTATCTGAACCCGATAGACTCAGCGTTTCATCATCGAACGATGATGGTGCTGATGATAAATTCTGTTGTTGACTGGAAGTTGATACCCGTCGTTTACCCCCGCCTCGAATGAACTTGTTGATTTGTAGTGCACCACTGATTAGACGATTACTCTTGAGAGTGGTTTGTGCGGATTGTGCTGCGTCAAGTTGTGCGGCTGGCGATAGTCCGTTTGTTGGTGCTGATTGTTGGTGTAGATCTGCTGAGGCAATACCCGTGGTCATCATACCGCTACGATGACTGCTCTTAGTCAAACGTGAGATCTTATCACAAACTAGATCATGCGTGTCTTGTGGGAGACGTTCGCCAGCGAAACTGCTACTACCCAAAGCATGATTGTTTTGACCACCTTTGCTCATCACGTTCTTTTCAGATGGATTAATGGAGAGATAGTCGGCCTGAAACAGAATCCATGAGATTGATCATCACAGCTCACGTGTCTACGAACGAACGCTTCGACTTATAACTGAACATTAA